CACAGCATGTAGCTGCATCACACCCTGGAACTGGAGAGTTAAGGACAGTTCATAGCCGCCGTGTGGGTGCTGGGAATAGAATCTGAGTCCTCTGCAAGAGCAGTCAGTGCTTAACCACTGAGCCATCTCTCCAGCCCCAAGACCTTGTCTTTAAAAAAAAAAATCTTGGCTCTGTCAATTTCATCCAAGCTACTGCCAGGGCAGAACAGGTGAGGGATGACATGGCACTGAGTGACCTCGCCAGAAAGTGAACCAGACTCATAATCAGAAACTTGCCTTTGCCCATTCCTCCTTACTGCTCCATCAAAAGTAGGGTTCAGGGGTTGGAGAGAGGGTCCAGTGGTTAAGAGCATTGGCTGTTCTTACAGAGGACCTGGGTTCAGTTCTCAGTACCCACAGGCAGCTAACAACTGTTAGTAACTCAGTTCAGGGGATCTAATGCCCTATTCTGATCTCCATAGACATTGCACTCACAGGCTGAATAAAAACAAAAACAAATTTTTAAAAATTCTTAAGTAGGGCCAGGCGTGGTAGCACACACCTTTAATAAACTGTAACTCCAGTTCTGTGGGATCTGATGCCCTGGAGGGCATTGCATGACACTGGTGCACTTACACATGCAGGCAATACACTCATACACATAAAATTAAAATAATAAAATATATTTTTAAAAGTAACACAAATTAGAGGCAGGAGGACCTCTGTGAGTTCAAGGCCATCCTGGTCTACATAGAGAGTTCCCGGACACCTGGGGCTACAGGGAGACCCTGTCTCAAAAAGATTAAAAAAAAAACAAAAAGGTAACACAAATGATTATTTGTAGCAAAACTTAGAAAATGTGGGTGGAGGGCTGGAGAGATGGCTCAGCAGTTAAGGGCACTGACTGCTCTTGCAGAGGACCTGGGTTTGATTCCCAGCACCCACGTGGCAGCTATGAACCATCCTTAACTCCAGTTCCAGGGGAATCTGATGCCCTCTTCTGACCTCCACAGCAGTGTAGGACACGGGTGCACTCACATGCATGCAGGCAATACACTCATACACATAAAATAAAAATAAAATATTAAAATAATAAAATTTTAAGCCAGGCCTGGTGGCACACACCTTTAATCCCAGTATTTGGGAAGCAGAGGCAGATGGATCTCTGTGAGTTCAAGGCCAGCCTAGTCTCCATGGCGAATCTGGGCCAGCTGTGGCTACATGGAGACCCTGCCTCAAAAAGACCAAAAAATAATAAAAGTAAATTTTATAATTTGCCAAGCTGATGACCTGAGTTCAATCTCCAGGACCCATATGGTGGAAGGAGAGAGCTAACTCCTGAGATTTGTCCTCTGGCACATCAATAAATAAATAATAATAAAGCAAATTTTTTTAATTTAAAAATAGACATTCTTAGCTGGGCCAGAGTTCATAGACCCCTGATTTGGAACAAATCCAGATTCCTTCTCATACCACTAGGCTCACCAACCTGTCATGCTCCATGAACCCCTGTTGGTCGTTCATTACACTGTGAACTCAGCTGCCAACCTCAGAGCTCCCCTTAGCCCTCTGTTCCAAAAATAGGTAACACACTGTTTCAGTTAAGACTCTGTTCTTTTGATAAAACACTGACCAAAACCAACTTGGGGAGGAAAGGGCTTATTTCAGTTTACAACTCCCAGATCACAATCCATCACTGAGGGAAGTCAGGGCAGAAACTCATGTCAGGAATCCGGAGGCAGGAACTGAAGCAGAGACCATGCAGGAACACTGCTCACTGGCTTGTTCCCATGGTTTGTTCAGCCGGCTTTCTTATACAGCCCAGGCTTACCTGCCTGGTAGGCTCAGCCCTCCTACATCAATTAACAATTAAGAAAGTGTCTCACAGACATACCCACAGGACAGCCTAATGGAGACAATTCCTCAGCTGAGGTTCCATCTTCCGAGGTGACTCTAGTTTGTGTTGGATTGACAAAAACTAACTAGCATAGTATAGGCCCAATGCAAATCCATGCCCTAGAGTTCTGTTCACTACTCCTGCCACTGTGGGTAGAGCCAAAATCTCCCTTTGCCTTGGGAGTCTGAGAGGACCTGAATTTGGGACTGCTGTAGCTCCAGTTTTCTCCTCAGAGCACTCGCCTGCCTGATATCTTGTGGTCCCCTGCACAGACCCCATAGAGACATCCTGTAGCAGGATGTCATGAGGCCCAAGAGCATAGAGCCAAGGCTGCAGACTGCTAAAGGGTCCTTTGTTCACTTTGCACGGGGTTCCAAAATAGGCAAGTATAAGCCAGACATGGTGGCACATGCCTTTAATACCAGTACTCAGGAGACAGAGGCAAGAGGATTTCTCCGAGTTCAAAGCCAGCCTGGTAGCATTTTGGAGCTAAGGTTAGTTAAATTCAAAGAAAATTACAGGGGCTGGGGAGGGGTGTAGCTCAGTGCTTTGAGGTCACACTCAATGTGTGTAAAGCCCTGGGTTCAATCACCAGCACCCCAAATTAAGTAAAATAAGGCTGTCACTATGACTCAGTGAGTAAAGGCACTTATTGCCAATCCTGATGACCTGAGTTTGGTCCCAGAATCCACATGGCAGATGTTTTACAGGACTGTCCTCTGAGCCAAACAACCATCATTTTCAGGAGTTCACTGTGCCTGCTTGCAAAAGAGCATCACAGATGTCTTAAAGTGATGTGTTTGTGTTTCAAGTTGACAAGGGGTCCATTGAGCTGTGTACCTTTACTTGTCTACTTGGCATACTTGGAAAGAGGGAGCCTCAGTTGGGGAACTTCCTCTATCAGACTGGGCAGGTTTTCCTGGCTTGTCTAAGAAAGCAGGCTGAGCACAGGGCAGAGGAGCAAGCCAGTAAGCAGCGTTCCTCACCGGTCTCTGCTTCAGCTCCTGCCTCCAGGTTCCTGCTTTGCCTTCCCTTGATTATGGACTGTGATGTACAAGCCAGTTTTGGCCAGAGTGTTTCACCACAGCAATAGAAAGTAATTAGGACAGGGTCTCTCTGATACTGGAAGCACTTAGGAAGGATGAGCAGCTTTCTGTCACCCAGTGGAAGTGGCTCCCATACTTGGCCAGCAGGGATTTCCCATATCCCAACCCATTGCCCCTATTTTAGGGAACTCAGTGGCAACTTGAGAAGCTCCCAGCCTGAGTGTAGTATGGAGCATCAGCACAAGCAGCTGTAGCTGCCCATGGGGACCCAGTGTAATTATTTTGCATGGATGGTTTCCTGTTTTAGAGGCACAGGTCTGAGCCTTGGCCTCTAAACAGAAATCAGGAGACTTCTTTTAGGCACCCGAGGCCAGTGGTCTTGTTTGCCCTATCCAGGCCTGAAGAGGGGACAGAATACGTGGAACCATTATGGCCTTTGATGACAAGAACCCCATTGCACACATGGATGTGTTACATACATACATGCAGGCAAAACACTTATACACACACACAAAAATGAATCAATCAATTAAAAAAAAACCACCAGTGCTGGAGAGATGATTCAGCAGTTAAGAGTATACTGGTTGCTCTTCTGGTCTGCATGGGCATTGGGTACACATGGCGCACTTGCAAGCAAACTGAACTATATTAGCAACTTAAGCTAAGTTACTCCATCTTGCTCAGAATAGCTATTTTAACAGTAACCTCTTTTCACTTACAGGAAATATTTAAAAAGAGAAAACAGCCTTGAGTTCTAATAGCTCAATCACAAACCAGTGGGACGTGCTAATCTCAGACATTTTACATCTAGCTAACTTCTTGTTTTTCCTTCTGTAACTCACTTGCTATTTTAGGTCACCTTGGCACAAAGTATAAGACCACCCTGTTATTGTATGACCACTGGGTAACTGCTGATTTTAGCTTTCTTACTATACTTGTTATGGCTAGGAAGTTGACTAATTTTAAAATTACAAAGTTGATTACCAAGTTATATGACTATATCACTTGTCTGTATAATGATTGGTTGTTGATTAATAAACTCAAAAAGTCCTGCTATGTTGTACAAACCTGATTGGTTCACAAGTGTCCTGTTTGAATAATATTTCTGTAATCCTATAAAAGATCTAACCCGACAATGATCAGGGCTGATTCTACTCCTGAGATAGACAGCCCAGCTGGTCGAAATAATAAGCATTTACCTTACTACTTTTTTTTTTTTTTTTAGGTCTTTTTGAGACAGGGTCTCCCTGTAGCCCCAGTGTCCTGGAACTCACTATGTGGACCAGGTTGGCCTTGAACTCAGAGATCTGCCTGCCTCTGCCTCCCGAGTCTGGGATTAAAGGCGTGTGCCACCACACCCGGCCACCTTGCTACTTTTCTTAAAGTGGTGCTAATGATTTTTTGTGAACTCCGACCTATAACACATACCATGCACTCAAAATAATCAAATTAAAATAAATAAGAATAATGTTTATTATTTATTATTTTTATCTTATGTGTATGAGTGTATTGCCTGCATGTAGGTAGGTGCACCCAAGTAGTGCAGTGCTCAGGGAGCTTAGAAGAGGGCGTTGGATACTCTGGAACTGGAGTTTCAGGCAGTTGTTAGCCACCACGTAAGCACTGGGACTCAAACCCCGGTCCTGTGCAAGAACAACCAGTGCTTTTAACTGCTAAGCCATCTCTCTATCCCCAATAATAATTCTTTTAAGTCTTTTCTTTTCTTTTCTTTTCTTTTTTTAAGTCTTTTTGAAACAGGGTCTTCCTGTAGCCTCAGATGGCCTGGAACTCATTATGTAGACCAGGCTGGCCTGGAACTCACTATGTAGACCAGGCTGGCCTCGAATTCACAGAGATCTGCCTGCCTCTGCCTCCCATGTGCTAGGATTAAAGGCGTGCGCCACCACGCCCGGCTAATGATAAATATTTTTAATAAAAATAACAACAACAACAACAAAGCCTGGGATCCCTACTGCACACGCATTTGCAGGACTACAGGTCCCAGCAAACTGTGTGTCTTGGTGCTGTGCTTTCTGGGACTTGTAGTCCAGATGACGTACGCCTGTGCGGGGCATGCTGGGACAGCGACCGGAGCCGACGGGACAGCCCATATGGGCCTTGGGCCTTGCGTACACAGCCCGACTCAGCCTGTGAGTACAAAACAGACTGACCAATCTGTGGAACAACTGACAGTGTAAAGCTGACAAATCAAAAGTACGACTGTGTGTCTGATAGGTTGCGTTCTCTAACGCATCTTGGGTTTGTGTATCTCGCTGACAGTTGAGTGACTGATGAAGCGTGGACCTAACAGAAATAGTTGTTTGACGGACTTTGTAGGTGGGTTGTGTAAGGGAGCAGGTGGGTTTGTGACTGTGATTTCAAGTGTGAGTGAAATCCTCTGTCTAAGGCGGATGACTAAGAAGTGATGAATGGCCATGGTGGAGAGAAAAGAGGATAGAGATGCTGTGAGGGACCGTGTTTGCTTTCCTTGACTGGTTTTCGGAGATACTGAGCTATCGTCTGTGTCTGGGAGAGACAGAGACACAGAGAGATAGACAGGCAGAAAGAGAAGAGGGAAAGAGAGATAGGGAAAGGGAGCCTGAGATTTTGTCATGGGAAATGAAATTTGGGTGATCCACAGAAAGGGTACCAACTATGTGGCAGATCATTTATGCCTTACTATATCCAGCTCAAATTGGGTGGCCAGTGGTCATGCGGCTAGACTTATGGCTATTCCCTCTGTGTAGGCTTATGTATGGCAGGAGGCTTTGAAGTCAACCAAAGTGGACATTTACTGCGTTTTCTGTGTGCCACACCTATGCAGGACGTTTGTCATGCATCACGTCTACTAACCTCATAACCGCCTTATGAAGTAGGCACTGATAATAAGTCTGGATATAAGCAAATCCCTCTATACAATTTTCTTTTAAAATTTTACTTCTTTAGTGTCTATGAGTGTTTGCCTCGAGGTGTATATATGTACCTCCTATGTGCCTGGTGCCTGCAGAGGCCAGAAGAGGGCATCAGATCCTCTGGAACTAGAGTTACAGACAGTTGTGAGCCCCTATATGGGTGCTGGGAACCGAGCCTGGGTCCTCTGCACCAGCAGCAAGGGCTCTTAACAGCCCCTCTGTTACTGATTTTACTTACTTACTTGTTTTCTCGTGTCATTAAAAACCCATGAACTTGGGGCTTGAACTGCAGCTCAGTAGTACAGTGTTTGCCTAACATGCACAAGGCCCTGGGTTTAGTCCCTAATGCAAACAATCATCCCCCCCCCCCCCCCGCGCCGCTTTTTTTTAATAGGTTTTCACTATGTAGCCTAGACTGACCTTGAGTTTCTGATTTTCCTACCTCTGTCTCCCAAGCACAGGGATTACAGATGTATACCACCAAGTCTAGGACTTAAGCTTCTTTAATTCCATTACAAAATATATATTACTTGTTCTGGAGATGTAGCTCAGTTAAAAGAGTGCTGGCCTAGCATGCACAAAGCCCTGAGTTTGATTCCATAACCACATAAACTTGGGTGTAGTGGTGCATGTCTGTAATCCCAGCACTTAGGAGGTGGAGACAGGAAGGTCAGAATTTCAGTCATGCTCAGATATATGAGTTCAAGGACAGCCTGAGCTACATGAGACCCTATCTCACAACAAAAAGTATTCATTTACTAACTGACTTCCTCTTTACTAATTGTTTGATGATTTCTCCTGGCCTAGTAGTTTCGTCCTGAGAGCAATTTGACCCCATCTCAGGGATCATCTGGAAATGTATGGGGTCTATTTAGGAATAGAGGTACTAAAAAGTCTGCAATACAAGGACCAGGCTTAAAAAGGATATGTCTGGGCTGGGAGTGATGGTGCACGCCTTTAATCCCAGCACTCGGGAGGCAGAGGCAGGCGGATCTCTGTGAGTTCAAGGCCAGCCTGATCAAAAAAAAAGGATATGTCCGATCCTTCCAGACATTAGTAGCACCCCCATCTCGAAATGAGACTAGATTCTGAAAAGAATGACCCTGTTAAGAAGGCAGGAGAATTGAGTTCAACTATGTAAGGAGACCCTTCTTAAAGTGAAATACAAGGGGCTGGAGAGATGGCTCAGCAGTTCAGAGCACCAGCTGCTCTTGCAGAGGACCCAGGTTTGATTTCCAGCACCCACATGGCGGCTAACAACCATCCAAAACTCCAATTCCAGGGAATCTGACACCCTCTTCTGACCTCTGCAGGCATTGCACAACATGAATGCACTTACATACATGCAGGCAATATACTCATACACATAAAATAAAAATAATAATAATTAAATATTTTATATGAAATGCAATATTGAGCTATTCAATATTAATATTAAAGATCTTGGGGCTGCAGAGATGGCTCAGTGGTTAAGAGCACTGATTACTCTTGCAGAGGACCTAGGTTCGATTCCCAGCACCCACATGGCAACTATGAACCATCCTGAACTCCAGTTCTAGGGGAATCCAAAGCCCTCTTCCAACCTCTGCAGCACTGCACAACACGGGTGCACTCACATACATGCAGGCAATACACACATACACATAAAATAAAAATAATAAAATATTTTTTTAAAGATATTTGTGCGTGATGGTTAGTGGACAACTTTGGGAGTCAGTTCTCTCCTTCCACTTGCTGAGGCAAGGTTTCTCTTGATGCTGTCACACTGCATCTTTCATGTTAGTTAACCTGAAAGCATCCAGGTGGTTCTCCTGGCTCTTCCCAAATTGCCTAGAAGTGCTGGGATTACAGATACATACCAGCACATCTGGCTTTTCTGGGAGGGCAGTTCTGGGGATTGAACTCAGGTCATGAGGTTTGCATGGCAATGCCTTTACCCACTGAGACATCCCATTGACTCCTTTCATCCCCACCCATCCCCAGGGCAGAGAGTATCTGGCTAGGTAGCCTAGACTATTCACAAATTTGCAATCCTCCTGCTTCAACTTCCCAAGTGCCAGGGTTACAGGTAGGTGCCACCAGGCCTGGCTGAAAAGCCCCTGGCTCCAAGATGCTGACACTGGGTGAGGGCAGGGAACTAATAAACAATCACATATCTGTATCATACATCAAGTGGTAAAGAGTAATAAAAAAAATGTAGAGCACAGTGAGATGGCTCAGTGGGTAAAGGAACTTGTCACACAAGCCCAATGACCTGAGGTCAATCCCCAGAACCCACGTGACAGTGCAAGGAGAGAGCAACTGTACAGTTGTCCTCTTACCTATACATGCTGTAACATGTGCACCCACACCCACATCACACATACACAGTAATAATAAATTTAAAAAATTGTTTTGAGACAGGGTCTCCTTGTAATCCCAGCTGGCCTGGAACTCACTATGTAGACCAGGCTGGCCTCCAGCTCACAGAGATCTGCCTGCTTCTGCCTCCCGAATGCTGGGATTAAAGGCATGTACCACCACACCCGGCTTTGATACCACATTTAAAAAAATTTTTTTATGTGTATGAGTGTATTGCCTGCATGTATGTGAGTGCACCTGTGTTGTGCAATGCCTGCGGAGGTCAGAGGAAGGCATCAGATCCTCTGGAACTGGAGTTATGGACGGTTGTTAGCTTCCATGTGGGTGCTGGGATTCGAACCTGGATCCTCTGTAAGAGCAGTCAGTGTTCTTAACCACTGAGCCATCTCTCCAGCCCCAGATTTTTAAATTTTTTGTCTTTTTTTTTTCCCCCCCAAAGCTGAGGACCAAACCCAGGGCCTTGCACTTGCTAGGCAAGCGCTCTACCACTGAGCTAAATCCCAACCCTGATTTTTAAATTTTTAACATTCATTTAGTTATATAGGGAGAGAGAAACGAGAGCGAGAGAGCAAGAGAGAGCGAGAGTGAGAGAGAGAGAGGGAGGGAGAGAGAGAGAGAGAACCCCATACTATGCTTGTTCAATCAATCCCAACACTTAATATTTTTTCAGCCTGCCATTTGGGTGCTGGGGATCGAACTTTGGTTGTCAGGCTTGGCAACAAGTGCCTTCACCCTCTGAAGCCCAGATTTTTTTCTACTACATTTACTTATAGGTGCATGGCAAACATGCGCCTAGCACAATGTTGCCTCTAAGAGCTGGTTCTCCACTCCACCATGTGGGTCCCAGAAAGCAAACTACAGTCATCAGCCTTGGTTGCAAGTGCTTTGCCTGCTGAGCCAGCTTGCCTGCCCTAATACATGCATTTAGAAAGAAGAAAGGGGGCTGAAGAGACGGCTCAGCACTGGCTGCTCTTGCAGAGGACCCAGGTTTGGCTCCTAGCACCCACATGGTGGCTAACAACTACTGGCAATTACAGTTCCAGGGGATCTGACACTCTCTTCTGACCTCTACAGTTGCACGTGGTGCACTTATATGCAGGCAGAAAAAAAAATTTAATAAAAAGAAGAAAAGTAGACAGGTAGTGCATGCACTGGGGAAGGAGAGACAGGAGAATCACGAGTTAGAGGACAGTCTGACCTACATAATCAGTTCCTGGCCAGCCTAAGATATGCAGTGAAACCCTGTACTAAGGGGTGGGGGCAGGGGCTGGCAAGCTAGAGAGAGAGAGAGAGAGAGAGAGAGAGAGAGAGAGAGAGAGACCTGACATGCTGTCACACACCTTTAATCCCAGAGCCCTGAGAGGTAGAGGCAGGCAGATCTCTGAGTTCAAGGCCATCTGGTTCACGAAATGAGTTCTAGGACAGCTGGGGCTACATAGTAAGACCCTGTCTCCAAAAACAAGGAAGGAAAGAGGAAAACTTAAAGTATGGGAATCGCATGCAGTTACCAGGGTGAACAATAAGAAAATAGAAGACAGACTACTCAGTGGAAGAGGAGCGTGGGCTAGCTTTGCATTGCCTGTCTTTGTGGCTCAGCTTCCTGATAACCCTTGCCCTAGTTGGGAGACTGAACAAACTTACTCTGTTTGTTTTCACCTAGAATAGGAATATTTCTGTCCTTTGAGTTTGTTGCAAGTTTGTTTTGTGTGTCTGTGTGCTATACATGTATGTGCACAGATGTGCTTGTCCATATGAGCTCATGTGAAGGACAAAGGTTGACATCAGGGGTCTTTTCTGTCACTTTCCACCTTTTGGTTGTTGTTTTGAAACCAGGTCTCTCAGTGAACCTGGAGTTCACTGTTTCAGTTAGACTGGCTGGCCAGTGAACACTGGGGACCTGCCTGTCTGCTTCCCCCAGCATTGGGATGACAGCCATGCACAGCCACACTCAGCTTTTTACATGGATATTGGGGATCCAAACCTAGGTTCTTATGTTTATGCAGCAAGCATTTTAGTGAAATAGCACCCCAGCTCTATTTCTTAAAATTACATTAAATTTTGGTGGGGGTGCACAGTGGTGGTTATATGACAATTTGTGGGAGTCAGCTCTCTCCTTCCACCATGTGAGTCCCCAGGGGATCAAATTCAGGTCATCAGGCTTGTGTCTTTACCATCTCATCAGTCCTTTTTATTTAAAAAAAAAAACTTTATTGAATTTGTTCTTTGACAATTTCATACAGGTATACTGTGAATTTTTATTTTTTAATTTTTTATGTGTATGAGTGTTTTACTTACATGTATGTAGATGCACCACATGTACAATGACCACAGAGGCCAGAGGATGATGTTGGGTCCTCTAGAACTGTAGTTACAGGTGGCTGTTTGCTGCCACGTGGGTGCTGGGAATGGAACAAAGTCTCTCCACTAGAGCAGCCAGTGTTCTTAACCACTGATCCATCTTTCCATCCCTTATCTCTCTCCAACCTCTGTTACCGTCCTTCCTACAAGTCTTCCCATATTTGTGACTTTCTTGCTGCTGTTTTGAGACTCACTGAGTTGAACCAGAGGCACCCACATGACCATGGGTTTGGCAACTATCTGCTGGAGCCTGGCGGGCTCCTCTGTTGAGTTTCAAATTCATGCATGCCTGGAGCATCGTCCTCTGTCCATTTATGTTCCTCTGTGTCTGTGTGAGGGTGAACTGAATCTCACAGGCCTCACTCCCCTACCCCTGTCCTCCCTTTCCAAAGCACTGACATTCCTGCAAACCCAGTTCCGAGGGTCCAGTCATCTCACTGAATTCTCCTGACCAATGGCCATCCCCAAGGGCCCCCTGAACCCAGTGCCCTGGGAACAAGGCAGCTTCCTTCAGGTGAAAGTGGAGGATGAGGAAGAAAGTAGTATCTCCCAGAGCCAGGAAATCAGCCCCAGCCCCATGGCCCACCCTGAGGCCGCCCGCCTGTGCTTCCCGCACTTCCACTATGAGGAGGCATCCAGCCCCCACCAGGCGCTGGCTCAACTTCGAGAGCTGTGTTACCAGTGGCTGAGGCCTGAGTCGTCCTCCAAAGAGCAGATGCTGGAGCAGCTGGTGCTGGAGCAGTTCTTGGGAGCACTGCCCCCTGAGATCCAGGCCTGGGTCGGGGCCCCGTGCCCCAAGAGTGGGAAGGAGGCTGCGGTGCTGGTGGAGGATCTGACTCAGCTGCTGGACCAGAGAAGTAACGGGAGCATGGCAGGTAGGTGACCACAGCAGAGCTTGCCTGGAATGGAGGAGTACAGGCTCTAGCAGGAATTGCTTAGGGGCCCTACTCTCAAGTTTGTACCTTAGCCACGGTCACACAATTGTGAAATCCCAAGTGATGAACCGCAAGGGAGCTTAGATTTGACAGTATTCAGAAGCTAGATCACTTCATCCTCTCAATGCTTTCTCTCTCTCTCTCTCTCTCTCTCTCATTCTCTCTATATATCTCCATTGGATTTGGGTATTCCTAAATTAGTTTTGAGACAGGGTCTCAGCAACCTACTTCTGCTAGCTAGGCCACACATCCTATAGGATCTACAACGTCCCCTAAAAGGGATACCTGTTCAAATGCATGAGTCATAACACAAGCCTTTCCAGGTAAGGCTGTTTGAGTCTGTCCATTGGCCCCACCAGCTGTGCCCACACAGATGTCCCAGGGACAAGGGGGAGGGAGTGGCTTCTTCCTCCTGCAGCGTGGGCAAAGGCCAAGTCATGCTAAGAGGAAGAACCACATCCAGGCTGGGGCCAAAGGCCTCCAGTACCTTTGGGCTAGTGCATTTAACAAGAGCAGGTGGGAAAAGGAAAGGAGAAGCTGGGTGCAGCACGTACCTTAGGAGACTGAGGAAGAGCAAGAGGGCCTGGAGAAGCTTCCAGAGTCAAAGTCTCAACCTGGCTGCAAGCCAATGGATCATGTGTAAGTTAAGTCCCTGAGCATCTCTGTTCTAATCCTGTGATCTTGTACCCAGAGCTCAGCAACTCCTCAGCTGAGCCTCAGCTTCCTCATCTGCAGTGGAACCACTAAGTACCTTCTGCAATGCAATGAGGCAGTGGAAGTTACACACTACACTTGAAGTCTAGCACCTAACAAGAGTCCTGTATGGGCCAGCAGCCCTGGCAAGCAAGTGGCATTGCATTCTCGTCTTTCACTTGGGGAAAATGAGGCCCAGATAACAGCAGGATTGCTTAAGGATTGAAAGCCCATAGGCTCAAAGCCTGGGGTAAGAGCCTTGTTTCTGGGCCACCCAGACCTTCTCTAACTCCTCCCTAGGATTCATCTGTAAATGTTGCTGAATGACGTGTTCTTGGGCACCACTGGCACCCAGGAAGGGCCGGTCAGAGCAGGTGTGCCTCTCCTTCATACTCATACCTCCTGAGGGCTTGAAAGGCACATCACCTGCTCATCCCCAGCAGCAGGTATCTACCTAGGGTTCAGTTGTGAGAAATTTCACAGTCACAGGCACCTGAATTGATTCTGTCATTCAGCCACTATTCCTTGGGCACCTGTAGACCCAGTCAGCTGCTGAATATAAGCAACAAAGTCTCACCAGCCATGGTGGTACATGCCTTTAATCCCAGCACTCAGATCTTTGTGAGTTCTAGGCCAGCCTAGTCTACATAATAGTTCCAGACCAGCTGGAGCTACAGGGAGACCCTATTTCAAAAAGACCCGCCCCCCAAAAAAAGAGTAGAGCCTGGAACTCACAGAGTTTGGCCCTGCCTGAGACTATAGGTGGGGGAACGCACAGGTACCTGACAAGGCCCAGCCCCTCTCTTGCTTCCTTCAGATGACTTCCACCTGAAGGTTTTCCTTCTGGCATTTTAGCCATATAAGGAGAGTTGGAGGATTGGATGGCTTGGTAGGGAGAATTATCAGAACTGTGATGCAGTTTGGGGTAGTGTAAGAGACAACCCTGAATTATTTTACTCACCCAAGACACCAAAGGGGAAAGTTTTCCCTTGCAAAATGGGACTATATGTCAAGAGTGATCCACATCTCCCCTTACAGAAAGGGTGGCCAGGACCCCAGGCAGATGGAGAGGCTTGTATGGTGATCTGTGGTGGAGAAGTGACAGTGCGGTTTGAATGGTTTCAGGATGGGAGCCAGGAGTGGAGCCTGAAGAGGCCGTCTGCAAACAAAATAGTTCAGAGGAGTCACAGCCACCAGACATGGCCACCAAAACCCTCATGGGAGGTGTTTCCCCCAAATCCACCTCTGTGGACACATGTGACCCTGAGGGCAGCTCAGAGAACCAGATAGATCTCTTAAGGCCAATCTGGATGAAGTTCACTGCTCAAGAGATGGATTTCAGCAAAGCTCTGGGGCCTCACATGGACACATCCAAAGACCAGCCTGGCCATGAGTCTGTTGCCTCGGGAAACAGTCCCAACACATGGCCAAACTTCACCTCCCAAGAGAAGGCTCTTTCAGAGGAGAAATTTGGCCCACTGGATGATTGTGGGACAGTGCCTCCAGATACATACTTGAAGAAGAAGCACTCCAAATGTGGTGAATGTAGGAAAACATTCCAGAACAGTTCAGCCCTGGAGGCCCACCAGAAGAGCCACTCTTGGAAGATGCTCTATGCCTGTATTGAGTGTGGGAAGGCCTTCAGCCGGAGTACCCACCTCACCCAACACCAGGTTGTTCACACAGGAGCAAAGCCCCATGCATGTAAAGACTGTGGGAAAGCCTTCAGCCGAGTCACCCACCTGACACAGCACCAGAGGATTCACACTGGAGAGAAGCCCTACAGGTGTGAGGAGTGTGGCAAAACCTTCAGCCGCAGCACCCACCTCACCCAGCACCAGCGGGTGCACACGGGGGAATGGCCCTATGAGTGCGACAAGTGCAGTAAGGCCTTCAGCCACAGCACCCACCTGACGCAGCACCAGTGTATCCACACAGGGGAGAAGCCTTACAGGTGTGAAGTGTGTGGGAGAGCCTTCAGTGACTGCTCTGCTCTGATCCGACACCTGAGAATCCACTCTGGAGAGAAGCCCTATCAGTGTAAGGTTTGCCCAAAGGCCTTTGCACAGAGCTCCTCCCTCATCGAGCACCAGTGGATCCACACAGGAGAGAAGCCTTATAGATGCAGTGACTGCGGGAAAGCCTTCAGCCGCAGCTCAGCTCTCATGATGCACCTGAAGATTCACATCACTGTGCTTCAGTGACCAGAAGCCCCCCTCAGAGCATAGCACATTCTCTCTCAGAGGCTTGACCAGGATCCTAGAAACCCTAGATTCCACAAGAGCCAGAAGTAGTATGTGTTGACAACTCAGTCCCCAGCATGACAAGATGTCTAAAAGCAGACTGGGGCTATGTGGAAACACCTCTGCTTTTGAGGACGCAAATAAAGTCCTCTGAGGAACGCAGAGATTCAACCAGCTGAGAAAGCTTCCAGAAGGTTCCTTCTAACCTCTTATATCCCACTCAGGCTGGTCCCAGAGAGAAGACATCGGCACTATGGTTCTGCATTGGTTCTCAGGGCAGCAGAAGTGACAATGAGTATCTGTCAGGGTTCAGGTTGTCCAAGACCCTCTAGGCAGGGAGACCCCAGCTTCAGATCTTCTCCTTCAGCCCAGAAGGGGCACCGACGAGGCCCACCTCTGTGCCTTCCTACCTGCTTCCTCCCCACATTAACTTATGCCCACCTCCAAGACAGACTTGTGAGGTTGCCTCTCCTGTGAAACTTTCCGCACCGTCCCTCTCATGTTCTCCCTGTTGTAATCCACGGTGCTGCTTGACGTTTGCCCAGTGTCTGTCGCTTCACCTCAGGCTCATCTCTAATCACCTCCACATGTGCCATTGCCTTCTGTGAGCTCTCATTGCCTCCAACTGCATTTGTATCTGTGCTCTCCTTCTCACCACTGTCACCTTCACTCTCCCTCCAGGAGCTCTTACTGCTACTCAGATCAGATTGTGTCATTCCATGGCAGGAAGTTGTCCACTGGGTCATCTTTTGCAGCAAAGTTTCCTGAGTGGGTTATAAGTGTGTAAAGATACATGTAGGTCACTTTGGCCTAAATACCTGCTCTAGTTATCCTCAAATGCTCATATGGATGTTGTCATTTCTCTTTGTCGAACAGTGATGTGAAAATGGTTTCAAAGTACTGGTCTGCCTATTGGGAAAACCATCCTCCTCACCTGTTGCCTGTGTTTGCTCCAGAACTGGCCTCCTCTAGCCTCGTCTGCTCCTGTGGCCCCACCTTCCACATGCCAGCCATGCAGAATTCTGTTAGTTCCCAAAAAAGCCATACCTTGTCTCACCTGTGTGCCTTTCTCCCTATACCAGGAACCCTGATGTCCTCTTTCCTCTGGGATGTCCCACATATCCGTGAGAAGCCTCCCTGACCACCTTGACCAGACTTCATCTTCCCTCTCTGCTGCTAGGTGCCCTGTTTTACCTGTCTTATGCCTCTTACCATGTCATGGTACTTACACACTTCTTACAAACCCTGCCGACTGGATTTCCCAAAGACACAGAGTATTTCATGTTGTAGACATGGTACACAGTGATGCAGTAAGCTCTACCCAGTCTCCTGATCGAGTGTGACCAGTACCTTCCTTGGGCATTCACTGTCCTCCACCCTATATTTTCTTCCTAACAACATTTATGGTCCTAGCTGTGGACCCCACAGGGCAAGAGGCCCTGTGCCCAGATAATCTAGCTGCAGTAGTCTAAGCAAAATGTAGCTATACTGGGTCCTTCTTGCCTAGGACCCTCAAGCCCCGGGTGCCACAGACTTAGGGGGTACCAGAAGTCCACCAATATGCTCTCTGTGGTCCTATCCATCTTCTAGGCTCTGCGTTCATAACTGAATGCCTCTACTCCTCTGATGAGCCCGTCCTCTGTGGCTCATTTGACCCACCACGTTGTGAGTGGATCACCATCACTGTCTCTCCCTGTGTATCTCCCTGACTTTTAGAGTCATCACCTCACAAAAAAATAGAGACTGAGGGTAAATGTTCCAGGAAGGTGAGACTCAGGGAGGCTGACACTGCATCAGTATCTCTGAGAGTTCTAGAAACAGGCAAAACACATGGTACATCACAGGTGAGAGACTGAGGAAAAGGTGACAGACTTAGAGAAGACCTCAGAGGCAGTGTTCACAGGCCTGCTGAACTGATTGCACAGGCTTCAAGGAACAGAAAGGAATTGAGCCTGAAGTGGGCCTGCAGAGCCCCACTTCTCCAAGAGCTGCCTTTGAAACATCAGATCAGAAGCTTGCCTAATTCTAAAAGGCCTCCTCATCTATAACACAGAACTAAGACCCACCAGCTACATTACCTGACCCCTGCAGGGTCTAGCCTCAGCCACTGGGTCCCCAACAGCTTGACTTCCCTCTCCCTGACATTCAGAGCACCACCACCCATTTTACTGTATGTACCCAGGTCTGAAGAGGAGGAGGACAAAAGAGAAAGAAATGTTTTTATGTCAAGATCTTTGTGTGTTGGGGCTGGAGAGATGCTCAGCAGTTGAGTACCTGTTGCTCTTGCAGAGGACCCCAGTTTGGTTCCCAGCACCCACATGGCAGCTAACAACCATCTGTAACTCCAGTTCCAGGGGATCTGATGCCCACTTCTGGCCTCTGTGGGCATTGTATAATACAGGTGCACTTACATAAAAGGAAAAGATTTTAAAACATCTTTTTTAAAGAAAAATTTTAATTATTCAAGAATTCCATACAACACATTTTTATTATATTCAAACCTCCTCCCCCATCCCCACCCTCATTCGCCAGCCCTCGACTTCACGTCTTCTATTAGCAAAAAACCTCATCCATCTTACATAACTCATCTGAGCTGGGTGCCAGAGAAATCATATTTCATTAGCGTATCATTGATCTATAATTCTTATACAAAGCACACACCCCCTTTCCTTTGTACATGGTTTGGGGTCAGAATACATGTAGGTTTCCTGGAACGGGATTTCCACTTATTTTCTGTTTCTCTTACCCACTGCTTAGGAATGTCAGGTAGGGATCTCTGTCTTCCTCTGGGATCAGAAACTGTTGGGTTTCCTTATCAAAGTCCATTGTTTGCAGCCTTTGTACATGCAGGTTACTTTGGCTGTTTCCAGTCCTTTCAGCACACTCACCCCACTGTGGTCCAAGTCATTCTACAACAGGTTGATGCCCCCACAGGATTCTACTGTGGGTGAAGACAGCAGCTAGGTCCTCACAGCAGGCAGCAGCTAGCTCACACGCCAGGACTCTCCAAGTGGCAGTTGGGATGTTTCACAGCTTTACACCAGTGTCCTCTAGTTTATTTTCTGAAATCAGTAGACTTCTCAAATTCCTAATGTTGTTGAGGACTGCAGCCAGGTCTTGACAGATATTGGGTGATGTTTATGATTGGCCCACCATTGGGCCAAAAAGATCTTTGTAAGTGGTGTACATCAGAGGCAGAGGCAGGCAGATCTCTGTGAGATCAAGGCCAGACTGAGCTACATAGTGAGTTCCAAGCCAGCTGGGGCTACAGGGAGACCCTGTCTCAAAAATATGAAAATAAAAATCTTTGTGTGTATGTGCTTATGAGTGTGCAGGTGCATTCACACGTGTGCACGTAGAGGCCAGAGGTCAGCATTGGATGTCTTCCTCCTTTTTTTTTTTTTTTGGCACAGTGTATCTCATTGAACTTGGATCTCTCCAATTTGGCAAGGCTAGCTGACCCACAAACCCCAGTGATCCTATCTCTGCCTTCCTAATGCTGTGATTACAGTTGTGTGTTCTCACACCCCTCTTTTTCTGTGGGTGCTGGGGATCAGAACTCAGGTCCTCATTCTTACACAAGCAAGCACTTTACTGACTAATCTATCTTCCCCATCCCCAAGGAATCTTCACTGGGGGTCTGAATGTCCTGATCAGTCTGTCAAGGACTTCACATACACCACCTCACTCTGCACTGCAAGGACAACCATCCCCATCTCATAGAGAAGGAGGTGAAGGTGAAGAAGCGCCTGACTGGTTAGGGTCATACTGCCAGGAAATGACAGGTTGAGTTACTTTTGAATTCAGCCATAGATTCTTTAGAAAAAGAGAAAAAAATACACAGTGGTTGCCAGGTGTGGTGGTGCATTCCTTTAGTCCCAGCACTCAGGAGGCAGAGGCAGATGGATCTCTGTGAGTTCAAGGTTAGCCTGGTCTACATAGTGAGTTCCAAGCCAGCTAGGGCTACAGAGAGACCCTGTCTCAAAAAGACAAAAAAAAAAAAAAAAAAGATATACAGTGGGATCACATCCTGGTGCCTGCAAAGCCAAATGAACACAGCCAAGACATTAAAGGATGGAGAAAGATTTGCCTGGAGCAGGTTGAGAGAGCAGTGTTCTCCCCAACAAAGGAAGCACGGGGGTTTTCCCCAGAAGGCCTATACAGATTCATAGAGGGGTTGGTCCATCCCTAAGCATACTCAGGGAGTACATTCCTGAGCATTGATATCATAATTTCAAAGAAAAGATAGTAGACTCATTTGGGTCTGCTAAGACATGACCACATATATGAAAGATTAAAGTGATGAGCAGAAACGGCTCTGGGCTTGTTCTTATGCCATAAAGATTTAACTGAAAATGGGCTCTTCCTGAAGCTGTGGTTCCTTCTCCTTAGAGTCCCATTTGTCCCCAAAACATTCAACTCAGACCTGTGCTTTCTGCCTCTGCTTGTGACCTGTTCAAGTTTGAACTGGGCTGGTGGACCCTGTTAATGTGACCGAAGCCTACTGCCAAGGGTTTCTTCCCAAGGCTCAGCTTGCTGGGAGGGGAGGAGAGGGGAAAGGCAAGAATGCTCTTGGGATTTTTTTTTAAACAGTGTCCCCATATGTAGCCAAGGCTGGCTTTGAACTTGGTATCCTCCTGCCTCAGCCTCCTGAGTGCTAAGATTGCCATACCCACTCTCTAGGGTGTTCTCACATAACATGCAGTCTTGTCTTCCTGGTGCTAGCTCTTCTGCTAGGCTGGAGGCCCCAGAAAATCCGCTCACCTTCATTCACTCTCACCCACACCAACTTCTGTCTCACTCCTCCATTCCCAGCCCTTTATTGAGCATCTTCCATGTGCCAAGCATTGACCCAGACTCTGTCCACCTGCAGTTTGGTCAGTTTCAAGAAAAGTAGATGCTGGGAGGAACTCCAATGATGCAGTGGAGCCTAGGAGACAGAGGAACCAGATGATAACAGAGGATCAGGAAGGACTTCTTTATCTTTCCTTTTTTTCAGTGTTTTTTTTTTTTTTTTCTTTTTTGGACAAGATCCCAGGTGACCCAGACTGGCTTCAAACTCATTATATAGCCAGGAATGATCTTGAATTCATGTTCCTCCAGCCTCTGCCTCCCAAGTGCTGGGATAACAGATGTACACCACCACACACAGTTTATTTAAGATTTATTTTATGTGTATGTGTATTTTGCCTGCACATATATAAGTGCACCATATATATGTAGAGTACTCAAGGAGGTCAGAAGAGGGCATTGGATCCCCCTGGGACTGGAGTTACAAACTGTTGCAAGCTGCCATGTGGGTGCTAGGAACTAAATCCCGGTCCTCTGGAAAAATAGTCAGTGTTCTTAACTGCTGAACCACCTCTCCAGCCCCTTATTTTATTTTGCTTTTTATTGTTTTGGTTTTTTGAGACAAGGTCTCACATGTAGCCCTGGCTAGCCTGGGGCTCACTATGTACAGAAGGCTGGCCTGAAACTCGCAGAGATCTGCCAGCCTTTGCCTCCTGAGTGCTAGGATTAAAGGCATGTACCACCACACATAATTTTTTTTTTTTGGTCTTTTTGAGACAGGGTCTCCCTGTAGCCCCAGCTGTCCTGGAACTCACTATGTAGACCAGGCTGGCCTTGAACTCACAGAGATCTGCCTGCCTCTGCCTCCCCAGTGCTGGGATTAAAGGCATGTGCCACCATGCCCGGCCATAATCTTAATTTCACTTTTAAGATTTATATTTTAAGAGTCCTAAAGTATTTAAGATCAAAATAAATCTATATTTTCGGGGGCTGGAAAGGCGGCTCAGTGGTTAACAACACTGGCTGTTATTGCAGAAGACCGGGTTTCGAATCCCAGCAGCCAGCAGCCAGCTAACAACTGTCTGTAACTCCAGTCTCAGAGGATCCGACAATCTTGATGATTTAAATGCTTTATTTTGTAAAGAAAATAAACATGATCTGTTCTCAGAAAAAAAAAAAAAAGATTTATATTTTAGGGGCTAGAGAGATGACTCATTGATTAAGAGCACTTGTTGCTCTTGCAGAGGACCCAGGACCTGCATGGCAACTAACTCCAGTTCAAAAAGATCTGACACCCTTTTCTGGGCCAGCTTCGGGTAGTTCATGACCTGGATGCACTCACATAAATGGAGGCAAAACACTCAACGCACATAAAATAAAAATAAATTTTAAAAAGTTTAAAAGATTTTTGTGGTTCTGTTTTGCTTTGTTGAGGCAGAGTCTCCCTGTAGCTGGCCTGGAACCTGCTATGTAGACCAGGCTATCCTCAATCTCAGAGCTCTGCCTGCCTCACAAGTGCTGGGATTAAAGGTGTCCACCACCACACTTGGCAAAGGATTTAATCTTTAATCCTGTGTATATGTATGTGTGTGTTTGTGCATGTGCATACAAGTACTGGAACCCACAGAGGCCAGAGACATCCAATCCCCTGGAGCTGGATTATAGGCAGTTTTGAGCCACCTGACATATGTGCTGGGAATTGAACTCAGGTTCTCTAGAAAAGCAGTATGTACTCTTAACCACTGAGCCATCTCTCCCCGCCCACCACACACACACACACCCAGTTTGTGTGGTGCTAGGAATGGATCTCAGGTCTTTGTGAATGCTAGGTGAGCACTCCACCAACTAAGCCACATCCTCGACCCTGGGAAGGTTTCTTGTAATGCAGAGAGCTGAATCAGACTAGGAGGTTGAGCTGTTAACTACTAAAAACTAGGACTGTTCCAGGCAGTGGGAACAACCAGCGAAAAGGCTGAGAAGTGGGACAGGAATGAGGAGGCCAAAGCAGAGGAGGTGGGAGAGAGGCCCTGGCTGATGAACTCACAGAGGTGATGGAGGCCAGTCACACTGGGACTGCAATTGCTATGGCTTCTGATGAGACTCAGGTGTCTGGTTTCCCTTCCCATTTTACTGAGAACCTGCTGCATGCTCTCTATCTCACCCTGGAACCAATGCCTGGAGGAGGCTGCATGTCTCAGGCGAGACTAGGGGAGAATGTAGCCTTTGCAGGCAAGACCATCACATATCAAAGCCTGAAGGTTTCTTCACCTTGTCTACCCAGATAAAGAATCTAGGGAACAGTTCAGGGTGGCCACGGAATTCAGTTAGTCACACTACTGACCCACAGCAGCAGCGCTGGCCAGGGAGGTAGAGACATGCTGCTGTGGAGGGCTGAGGGATCCCAATACCTAAACGTGTATGGAACCTATAATGCCAGCTGCCACCAAGGGAGGAGGAATCCTGACATCCTAAGTCTACCCAAGTAAGGCGAGGGCTAAAGATACCTAAGGCCTTCACAAAGACTGCAACACTAGGAGGCGCCCATCTGCTGCTGTTCCCACACCCCTGCAGCTGGCTGACACCACGCACCGCACCGAGGGAAACAAAAGCTACCAAAGACCAGCAGTTTATACTTGTCTACCCATGATTTCCATTGAGATAAAGCAAGTGCCCAGTCCAAAGCGGCCACATGTCCAGAGGACGAGCCTAGCCCGTGTGGTGTAGACTAGGCACGTAGTGGGAAGGATGCGGGACACCCCAGGGCATGAAGAATGTACTTATGCGCAGGCACGACGCCCTTCTGCACCCTTCCCCGTCATGGTGCCTCCACGGACACGCGGAACCACAGTGCCACACCTTGCTCTTCACAGGGAGTGGCTGACGGAAGTGTAGCCAAGAAACGCAGAACATTTAAGAGAGAAAAAGATTTTAGGACATCTATCGAAGAGGGGGCACCAGAACTTGTGCGGAGGGAAAGGACGGGTTCCTCAGGCCTTCTGAGGTGAGGACGTGGGAGCTGAGTGTGAAGCAGACCAAAAACGTCCAGTATGCCGACTGGAAAGGGACACAGCAAGGTGTAGAAGCCAGGTGGCGGGGCGCGAGGCAGTAGGGAGCCTGGTATCAGCCACCACAAGGAGGTGGGCTTGGTTCTCCGAGCCGCAGACTCCCGTGGTCTTAAGTCCAGAGCCCCCCTTCATGAGCTTCAATCTCCCACCCACGCTTGAGTACAAGAAGCCAGAACTACTACAGGTGGATGTGTCCTGGAACGTAATATCTGAAGTTCAAGCGCCCGGAGGAACTATGGCACACGAATCGGAAGTGTGCTGTTTCAGGCCTCAGCCTATATCGGGCGCTCAAGGGGTTGGGAAGGGAGGAGATGGCAGCCCTTCTAAGGATCTGGAAGTCCCAGTCTCGGAAGAGAGGACCTCAAGGCCGCGCAGAAGGCCACTTACTCCGTGGCGGAGGCCTGCAGGGGACGCACACAACGCAAGGCCTTGTGGGCAATGTAGTCATTCGGAATTCCGCCTTTATGTGGATGAGGGGGCGGGGCTGTGTTGTCATGGCAACAGAGGGGCCCACCCTTTTATAAATTGTGTATAATCCTGCGTTGTCAAGTGGCCTCTGGGAAAAGTTCCTTACACCCAGCCCCCAGAAAAACGGGGGATTGGCCAGAAGAGTGATTGATAGCTTTTAGGTCCAATCACATTTCGAAGTAGTCCTTATTTGGAAACTCACCTACCATTGCACCAGGCTCAGGTAAAGAAAGTTGAAAAATCGCAGGACACGGGTGCACTTACATACATGCAGGCAATACACTGATACACATAAAAATAATAAAAATTTAAAAATAAAGGAAGTGAAAGAAATTGGCACAACATAGTACTCCCGACCATCCAGTTCTATACTGAAGACTTCCTCTTTCCCCCGCCTGGGTGTCTAGAAGGGCCACACGGATGAGTCCCAAGAGAAACCAACCACAGAATGGGTGAAAATAAATCTCCCCAAAGGCCCTGTCTCCCCTGCAGCAGCCGTTCCCAAAAAATCCCCTGTAGCTGCTGCCCATATATAAGACTCTGACCAGCCTTTGACGCATCCTCCATCCTGTAGGACGGTTGCTACACCTCGCTGTGCTAATAAACACAGTTTTGTTGAGGTAAGAAGTGGTCACTTTCTTTATCTCCTATTCTTGTATTCTGCTCTCCAAAACCTAACTAGAAGACCACTGGAAAATGGTAAAAGTGTCCCAGAGAACTGGCTGCCCTCCAAACTGCTGAAATCCAGTCTCCACAAAGTGGAGTCTCACCTGAGTGCCTAAGTTCCCTTGGTGACTCATATGTGCAGCCTGCGTGAAAAAACACCACAGCTTCCTCATCCCCCAAGGTGGTGAAAACCCTATTTGATCTCCTGGTTTTGGACAGAATGACCTGGTCAGGCCTCCTTGTCAATCCTTACAATGTTCCCCATCTATCCCATTGTTTCTGCCTTCATTCAATTTCGAGACAGGGGCTCATATAGTTCATGCTGGCCTCAAACTCACTATGTAGCTGAGGCTGGCTTTGAATTTCTCATCTTCCCGCCTCCCCCTCCCAAGTCCTGGGATTACATGCATTGTGGCACTACCCTCCCTCATCCAGTTTTGTTAGCCTGTCCACCACATGCAGAATTTCAGAGCTGCCTGTTCCCACTGTTCCACTCCTCTTCTTAATCCTGTTGGCGCCTGGACATCAAGCTCCCTGCAAGCAGGTTTGTCTTCCTGTCCAGGGAGAAAGTCAAGTCAGGGCTTGGTTTACTACTGGGCCCACAATTGGAGTGATGCTGGAAGGCCCTTGAAAGATGCAAGGCTTGTTCATCACTTGGTGATAGCTGTGCATGAAGATGTTGCCTGAATTGCAGCAGAAGGAGTTTGGTGGCTGGCTCTCTGCATGGGTGTGTCCTGATTGAGCAGGTTCCACCACTGACTGAAGGCCGAACTTCCACGTTAAGATAGACACAGAACTTATACCTGTGAGACGCCACACCTGACTCCTTTGTTTTGTTTGTTTTTTTCTTGAGACAAGGTCTCCTGGAACTTACTGTGTACTCCAGGCTGGTCTTGAACTCTTGGCAATCTTCCTGCCTTAACCTCCCAAGTTGCTTGGGTTACAGGTGAGAGCCACCACACCTGGCTACACAGGAATCTTGAAAGCTATAAAAAACAAGAGAGAACGCAAAGGAAAATAGCTTTAGATACTTAAGTGACAATAGAATTTATTCTCATAATTGTTTTAATAGCTTTTGTATAATCCTCATCACTATTATGAGATATAAAATGTATTTATCAAATCTGTAATCATTATGCCAAAAAATCTGAATTACTGTAATATTTTGCATATTGTTAAAACTGTAACTTTAATTGTAAAAAAAAAAATTTAAAAAAAAAAACAAGAGAGAGGCCAGGCATGGTGACACATGCCTTTAGTCCTAGCACTTGGGAGGCAGAGGCAGGTGGCTCTCTGTAAGTTCAAGGCCAGCCTGGTCCACATAGTGAGTTCCAGGTCAGCTAGGGTTACAGGGAGACCCTTTCTCAAAAAAAGACAAAAAAAAAAAGAGAGAGAAAGAAAGAAAAAGCAAACATTTCAGTGAGAGCTGAAGGAAGCCATCTACGTGGGCAAGGTGTTTAGAAGTCAGCTCCTTGCTTCTCCAGGCTGGGTTTCCCCAACAACACACTGTCTTAATTTCGGTAAAATACTCCTTTTCTAATTCTGATCTCTATGCTGCTTGATTGTAAGTACATTTCGAGCTTCGCAAGGGCAGGCCACAGGCCCAATTGTCTCTGATATATATGTTTGTGACGCCACCATTTGATGTTTACACTTTGAGTTCTGCTGTCAAATTTCCCTGTAAATAAATGAATATAAATAAAACCTAGTGAGTTGATATAAATCTGTGGTTCACAAACTGGGGACAGTTTTGCCTTCCAGGGCACAGTTGGCCATGTTGGGAGATATTTGTGGTTGGGATGGGGCAGGAAACACTATTAGAATCTGGAGGGTGGAGGCCAGGGATGTTGCTAAGCATCCTGAAATAGGACAGGCTTGGTCATAAAGACAGTAGTGCCAAATTAGAGAAACCCTGGTTAGGGGCTGGGGGTATAAGCTACGTGGTAGAGTGCTTGCCTAGCATACATGACATCCATATCCTTAATCCCAGCACTTAGGAGAGGGAGGCAGGAGGGTCAGAAGTTCAGGTCAGCCTCAGCTACATAGTTTGAGGCCAGCCTAGGCTATATGAGACTCAGAAAAGGAAGAGGAGGAGGGGGAGGAGGAGGAGGAGGGGGAGGAGGAAGAAGAGAAGAGGGGAGGATGGGGAAGAGGGTGGGGAGATGCCTCAGTGATTAAAGGCACTGGCTGCTCTTTCAGAGAACCTGTGACATGTACATACCTGCACACATGCATACACATAGACTAAATCTTTTTAAAAAAATTAAAGAGCACATACTGCTCTTACAAAGGACCCAGAGTTCAGTACCCAGCACCCATATTGGGTGGCTCACAACCACCTGCAACTCCAGCTCCAGGGGATGTGACCTCTCTGGCCTCCATGGGCACTCACACATACATGTAAGTGTATGTACCCAGACACATACACATAATTAGAAATAATAAAAACCTTTAAGAAAAATATGAAAAAGTCAAGGTCATTCTGTCCAATCTGGAGAATGTGCCTTTGATTTTTTAAATTTTTATTTTTATTTTATATGTATGAGTGTATTACCTACATGTATGTAAATACACCCCTGTGGTGCAGTGCCTGTGGAGGACAGAAGGTGTCAAATCTCCTGGAACTGGAGTTACAAGGTTGTTAGCCACCATGTGGGTGCTGGGGTTCAAACCCAGGTCTCCTGCAAGAGCAGCCAATGCTCTTAACTGCTAAGCCATCTCTCCATCCTAATTTTTTTTTGAGACAGGTCTCCTTGTAGTCCCAACTGGCCTGGAATTCACTGTGTAGACCAGTCTGGCCTCTAACTCACAGAAATCCACCTGCCTCTGTCTCCCAGGTGCTGGGGTTAAACGAGTGTGTCACCATGCCCAGTTCATGTTTTTTATTTTGAATGAGTGAGTTCACTAACTATATAGCAAGCAAAATAAAAGAATAAATATTGACTAGCAGAGAGGGCAGCAGATACATAACAAAACACTATCAAATTGGGGTCTTTCTAGCAGAAGTTGACTGTTGGAGTTCCCAACTGAGTGTAATGGGCTGGCTTCTCTTTCCTGCCAAAGGCATCTTGGTCATTTTTTCTGGACCTGGTATGACCCAGGAAGGAACTCTCTCTGCCCCTAAACCCTCAATTTCTTTCCAGGAAAGGCTGTTTATTGCCAGCTGTGTAATTACTGATTGTAATGACCAAAGGGCTGGCCTGTACGCTAAACCTACTGAAACAAAGGAACAAAAGGATGGATGAGAGGCTGGAGACATGGCTTAATTCAGAAAAGCCCTTGCCACACGAGCCTGACAACATGAGTTCGAGCTTGGGACCTATGTAAGAAATCAAATGGAGTGACTTGGATCTGTAATCCCTGCACCCCTACTGTGGGATGGGAGGAGACAGGCAAACTGACCATCGGTGACGGGAACAAGAGAACTTGCCTCAAAACAAGGTGGAAAGAGAGAACCAATTCCAGAAAAGTTGTCCTCTGACTTCCACATGTACACTGTGGCACACAAGTACCCCAACCCCAAATATTAAAAAAAACAAAAAAAAAAAAACAGGCCTGGCTAGATGGCTTAGCAGGTAAAGGGTCCCACATGGTGGAAGGAGAGAACTGATACCCACAAGTTGTCCTTTGCATGTGACACATGCATAATACCACCCGCCCACCCATCCACCTACATACAATAAAATAAATAAATGTAATAAGAAAGTAAAAAGCCCGAAAGAACAAATGAATGATAGGCATATTTGTTTCTCTTCATCCTCTGGCAGGACAGCTTCCAGTCTCATGGAATCTTTCTTTGTTTCAGTCTTTAGTGTTCTTTCAGAAGTAAGTACATGTCAGTTCCTATCTCAGAAACAGCTCACACAACACAGAGATAGGTGCACTTACTGGGTGACTTGGTTTAAGTCCCTTCTAGGTGCTCAATGGACTCAGCTATAAATTGGCACCAGGTGTTATCAGGATGGCTCTGTGGAACTGAGGAATGACCTGGCACCAGGAGAGTGTATGCCTCTGGGGTAGTGATGGCAAATGGGACCCAATCTCATCCCTCAGGTGGAGCATCTGGGATAAGAATAACATAGGTTGGTGATGGAACTCAGAGGTGGATCACCCAAGAATCCACCAGTGAGGGGCTGGGGGGTGCTCAGTGGTAGACCCTCTGCCTAGAATCCCCCACTGAGGGGCTGGGATGTGGCTCAGTGGTAGAGCCTGTGTATAAAGGTCAGAGGCCAATTTACAGGAGTAACTTCTCTCCATCATGTGGGTCCCAGGCATTAAACCCAGCTCATCAGTCTTGACAGCAGGCACCTATACCAACTAATCCCATCTCACCATCTCCACTCTGGGTCTTTCCAAAAATCTGAGAGGTTTGAGAAACCTCATGTGTACCAGTTTAGTGCTGCCGACTTCCGATTAGATAAGCTCTCAGGGAGCTAGCCCCTGGAGGAAAAAAAAAAAAAAAAAAAAAAACGGATTCTCCCTCCCTCAGCACCTACTGATTGCCTGTAGTTCTTCATCCAGAGGTGGAACCCTGTGTCATTTCCCCCATCCACATTGGCAGGGCAATTGGTTTTGTCATTATGTAAGTTGTTTATTTTTTGAGACAGGGTCTCACTATGTAGCCCTGGCCTCAAACTCAAATATCTGCCTGTCTCTGTTGCTGTTTTTGTTTCTTTGTTTTGATTTGGCTTTTTTTTTTTTTTTTTTTTTTTTTTTTTTTGGTCTTTTTGAGACCTAGTCTCCCTGTAGCCCCAGCTAGCCTGGAACTCCCTATATAGACCAGGCTTACCTCTATCTCACAGCAATACACGTGCCTCTGCCTCCCAAATGCTGGGATTAAAGCATGTGCCAACATATTCAGCTTGTTGTTGTATTTTGAGACGGTATCTCATGTAGCTCAGGCTATCCTCTAACTCAATACATAGCTGAGGATAACTTTGAACTTCTGATCCTCCTGCTTCGACATTCCAGATGTTGGGATTACAGGTGTGTGCCATCATGCCTAGCCTGGGCACGTGAATTTTCATCTGTGCAGAGCCATCTCTGCCTTACTCCCCACATCTCTACCTATGGGCCATGCTCAGGAACCCCTCACTTGCTCTCAGCAACTTGGTGGGCCATTCTTGTGAGGTCTATAAAAATGTCCATTGTCAACCCAGTGTGGTGGTACATGCCTTTAATCCCAACACTTGGGAGGCAGAGACAGATGGATCCCTGTAAGATCAAGGCCAGCCTGGTCTACATATCGAGTTCCAAGTCAGCTGGGGCCACAGGGAGACCCTGAGTCAAAAAAACCAAAGCAAACAAAAATGTCAGTTATCAGCTGGCTAGTGGTACACACCTATGATCCCAGTACCCAGAGGTGGAGGCAGGAGAATCAGAGTTCAAGGCCATCCTTGGCTACACAGAAAATCCAAAGCCAGCATGGGCTATAATGAGACCCTGTCTTCAAACAAAATCCATTATCAAGTAACCACTAAGTTCAGCCCACATGATCCAAACTGGTCTTGCCTTTATATTTCCATGCTGAAGCAGAAATCCAGGCTTGTAACTGTGGGCATTGTCAGCTTATGAGGAAACATATATAGGATGACACCCCCCCCCATCATCTATAATTTGTAGTTCAGAGACTGGTTAAATAGGCAGGATTTCCACCCCACTTCCCCCCCCCCCAATACAGGCTTGAGTGCAAACTGAGACCCAGGCTCCTTGAGGGTTCAGGGAGCTAACTCTCCCAGGACCGACCTGTTCAGGGGCCCTTCAAGGAGTAACTGAGAGCGAGGATAGCCGCCTGTGTGGGGACGGCGTGGAGGGTTTATCTTCACCTCCTGGCTGTACTGCTCAGCCCTCCTTCTTCAGCCCTTAAGCCTCAAATGTAGAGTCAGTCTAGTTAAGAGGGCACCCTGTGGTAACTGCCCAAGTCGGTGGGATTCCAGCTATAGGGAGATCAGATCAAGGTGTCTCCCCAAGAGGTCCCTGGCTTGGCAGTCCCGCCCTCCTCCAGAACTCCCCTCCAGTTATTCCCATATCCCAGCAGATCACACTGCTGCGGGTTGGAAAGTCAGTTCTCAGTACCGTTGACTCCGATCCCTCGGAGATAGGGCATGCGAGGCGAAGGCTAAGTAAGGATGGCAAACGGAGGCCGGACCAGAAGCCGGGTTTGGTGGCACTAGCCTTTAATCCATTCCAGAAGGTAGAGGCAGACCGAATCTCTGTGAGTTCCAGCCCAGCCAGAGATACAGAGTGAGGCCCTGTCTCAAAAGACGAAAGAAAAAAACAAAACAAAAAAAAAAGGGGGCGGGGCGTGTCGGGCAGTGTTCCTAACAGCTCAGGGGTTAGGAGCACTGGCTACTCTTGCAGAGGATGGGGGTTCAGTTCCCAGTGGTGACTGTAACTCCAGTTCCAAGGGATCTGACGCCTTCTTCTGGCCTCTGCAGGTATTGCGTGACACGGGTGCACTTTTACATACCAGCAGGGAAAACACTCATCACATAAAATGTAAATAACTTTTTGGGGGGCAGAGGTCTCCCTGTAGCCCCAGATGGCCTGGAACTCGGTGTGTAGACCAGGCTGGCCTCCATCTCACAGAGATCCGCCAGCCTCTGCCTTCTAAATGCTGGGATTAAAGGCGTGCGCCACCACACCCGGCTTAATTTTTAAAAATTTTAAAGGGGGTCAAGACGGAAGTGATCCCCTCCTGAAGCATGGGACCTGCAGAGAAGGGTTCTGCCCAAGAGTTGGAGGTGGGACCCGGACGGCGAGCCCAAGCTAGAAAGACCACCAGACCAACTACTTAGGTGAAAAATGGTGAGCACAGTAGTTGCCCTGGCTAAAAATCCCCGGCTTAACAACAGTGAGACGTCTGCCCTTACTAGATATGGCGGTGTTAGCCTCATGGACCTCTCTGTGCACGCGCCGAGGCTACTAAAACCCGGGAGAGAACTTCACATATCCGCCGGGGCGCTGAGAGAACGAGGTGGGTCAGCTTTTAGCAATGCGCATGCTCTGTGGGCCCACCGGGGGTCCTTTCATCCTCACTTCGGATTGGCGCGTCAGTATGCTTGGTTCTTATAGGCGGGCGTCGCGGCCCCTGACCCGGAAGTATTCCCTTCTTTTAAAAGCGCCGGCCCGCGGCGCGCGGCCTCTTCCTGTCTGTGCCAGGACGGCGCGTGGTCCACGCCGAGCGAGCGAGACGCCCGGTCTGCGCCTTTAGGTGAGGCGGTGGAGGGGTTCGGGGGCGCCTCGGAGGCTTTTGGGGCCTTATATGGGGAGCGCTAGGCGAGCCCCGAGGCCTGGGGCTTCCCTTCTGTGCCTCACTTCTCCCCGGAAAACGGGGTCCGGGAACTACTCGCTCTGTGCTGAATGTGACTTTTCCACTCTAAGCTCTAGGCTAATAATTCGCGTAGTGTTAGTAACATAGTTTGTGACGAAACTTTTGCTAACATAGCTTTCTTAATAAAGCCCTTAGCGCCTTCCCCAATGTTAGACCAAAATAGAAAATTTTGAATTAATTGTGCTGCTGAGTTTGTTTGGAGGCGAGGGTCCTTAATGCCAGACTATGATACTGTTTTATTGGTGAGTAAAAGTTCCAAGGGCTTGGTTGGCTTTACTAGGATGGGGGCTCATAATTAGCGTGGAGAGTTGATACCCAGGAGGTGTACTGTCATACTGTGTTCCATGTGTTCCATGCACGAGCCGTTTAACCTGGTGGCTGCCAGGTCTTGGGCCCAGGAGTTAGGCACAGGTGCTTCCTAGAGCTGAGTGGTTTTCCTGAAGTTGGGAGAGAGATTCACAGCTTTCTGTGGTCCCCTCTTAACTTCCCTATTCACAGGGTGGAGGTCAGAGTTTGGGGTGGGTGTGCCTCTACTCCAGGCTGGCTGGGGTCTAACGGTTTCTTATTGTCCCCAGAATGACCGAGTGGGAGACAGCCACACCAGCGGTGGCAGAGACTCCAGACATCAAGCTATTTGGTAAATGGAGCACTGATGATGTTCAAATCAATGATATTTCTCTGCAGGTGAGAGAAATCTGATGGTCGGGCTTCCTGGGATGGGAGTAGGTGTGAATTCTTCCAGGAAAGGACACTTGATACTTGGAGTTACTTTGTATACTTACCAGTTGTGACAGAAGAGGATCTCTGGACAACCACATCCATTCCTTCTTAAATCCTGCCCACAAGGTTGCTGCAGTTCAGTGTGATTTGTTTATTTTACACCCCCCTCCCCATTAGAATCAGTCGAGCATGCTTTGCAAATGCTTTACTGCTAGCTACATCCCTATCCCTGCTACCGTGGTGAGGCACCATTGTTGAAGAGGCTGTTCTTTAGACAATTGAATGGGCTTGGCGCCATTGACAAAGTCATTTGACAGCTTTCAGCATGGTGGTATACCACCTGTACTGCCACTCAAATCAGTTGAAGCAGGAGAATCTTGAGTTTGAGGTCACCTGAGTTGCATGATGAGGTGTCCCCCAACCCCTCCCCCCAAAAAAGTAGCAGTTGGCTGTGGGTGTATGGTGGCTGTTTTGTGCATATAAAGACAAACAGATTGAATTGTATTTACATTTACCCATAACCTCTGTTTGAGACAAGGTCTCACGTGGCCCAGTAGAGGGTGGCTTTGAACTCCTGCTCCTCTTCACCTCCTGAAGACCTGGGTCAAGGCATGTGTCAGCATATATCCAGTACTATGAAGTGCTGAAATTGAACCCAGGACTTTGTACATGCTAGGCAAGCACTTTTCCGACTGTGGTACCTCCTTAAGCCCATTTGCCCTTTTTGGTTTCGGAGGAAGGCAACCTGAGTTCTAGGAATCTACAAGTGGAAGGAGAGAGTCCTGCAAGTTGTCCTGACTTGTACATGGACACTCACAGCAAAGAGAGGGGAAAGACTCAGGCATTATCTAAAGGATAACTCAGTCTGGTTTTCCCTTCTGAATGTTTTGTCTTTTTGAGCCCAGGCTGGCCTTTGTATAGCTCATTCTATAATGAGAGAATTATTTTTCATTATTCCTTCATTAAACATTGTGTGTTTGCTCTTTTAGGAGCTGGGGAAGTAAAGGCAGTGTAACCAGGGTATACCAACTTGAAAGCCATGTGGGGCTGCAGGGTGGAGCCAGATCCTGCGTTTAGTCATTGGGATGCTTTTGCTGCACGTTGTAGCTCTTCCTGAGCACTTTTGTTTCTATATGATCTTCTCTCCAAGGGTTATTTTTACCTGTACAAGTGTTATACCTGCATGTACATAATTGTACCATGTTTGTGCCTGGTGCTGCAGAGGTCAGAAGATGGCATTGGATCTGCTGAAACGAGTTAGGAAACCAAGGTGTGGGCACTGGGGGCTTACCTTTGTCCTCTGCAAGAGCAGCAATGCCCTTAACTGCTCCCTCTCTCATTCTCTTCATTACACCAAACATGTTCTCGTGCAAGTATGGCATGGCATTAGAGACTGTTTGTGAGGAGATGAATAGCAGGCCTGTTTGCCCACATTGTGCTCTTCCTTACATCTGAAACATCTACCTTACAAGCTGGTGTCCCTCTTTGGAGACATAGGCATATCTGGATACTTTCCTTTTTCTTTTTCTCTTCTTTCTGGCTCCCATGTGGCCCATGCTGGTCTCTGGCTCACTATGTAGCCAAGAGTGACTTTGAACCATGTGGGTTTCCTCCACCTCCCAGATGCCCCATGTACCTGGTGCTGGGGATCTGTGCTAGGCAAGCACTTGATGAAACCTGGGTTAAATTTATGTGTGTTGAGTATGTTGCCTACATGTATGTAAGTGCACCTGTCCAGTGCCCAGGAAGGTCAGAAAGGGACATTGGAGCCCCTGGAACTGGAGTGGCAAATGTTTTTTAACCACTGTGTAGGTGCTAGGATTCCAACCCAGCTCCTCTGCAAGAACAACCAGTGCTCTCAGTCATCTCTCCAGCCCCTATAGTACCATTTTTTAGGACATTTTTGGAAAACTGGACTCATACACCCTTGCATCCATGTTAAAGGAAGTACTCTATTTAAAATGGCTTTGCACTTGTTTGGGTTTTATTTTCTTTAGACAAGAAGGACGTAGCTTCCTGGGGCGGGGCCAGGCTGGGACTGCAGACAGCCAGGGTCCTATCCTGGGTAGGTTCTCAGACCCTCCTCTGATTCCCATTCAAGGCTCATCCTGCTGTTGACTGGTCTTTTATTCCCCCCCTCCACCCCAGGATTACATTGCTGTGAAGGAGAAGTATGCCAAATACCTGCCTCACAGTGCAGGGCGGTATGCTGCCAAGCGCTTCCGCAAAGCACAGTGCCCCATCGTGGAACGCCTCACCAACTCCATGATGATGCATGGCCGCAACAACGGCAAGAAGCTCATGACTGTGCGCATCGTCAAGCATGCGTTTGAGATCATCCACCTGCTCACTGGTGAGGTAAGTCTTGACCAGGCAGTGCAGCCTGTGCCCTTGATTCATGCCAAAGCTCCATGGTATATGCATCACCTGTGGCATTGCTGCCTTGTTTAGGGTTGAGAAGGATGGGGTGGGACACATGGGGCTGGGTGTGAGGTTCATACCTCCCTTCTCTTCCAGAACCCTCTACAGGTTCTGGTGAATGCCATCATCAACAGTGGCCCCCGGGAAGACTCAACGCGCATCGGGCGAGCCGGGACAGTGAGACGGCAGGCTGTGGATGTGTCCCCATTGCGCAGGGTGAATCAGGTGGGTCTGAGGCTTGCAAAACCAAACCACCAGCAGTAGTGGGTGGAGTCCTGCCTGGGACTAGAAGGCATGTTCCCATCTGCATGTTTTACCTGGAGCCTCACTTCCTCCAGGAAACCTTCCTGGATTCCTGCCCTTAGCCCAGCAGTTGAGGCTCTAGCCTTCCTCCAAAGATGAGTTTCATCTTATTTCTGGTGGATGGGTTTACAGTGTCAGGTGTTTTGTTATGACTTTTTTTTTCTTGGTCTATTTACACATCACTGTGAGTGATGACACATACCTATTGTTTACCTGCGGCATCACTTGAGCCCAGGAGCTAACCAATTTAAGCAGTATAGTGGGGCTATATCTCATTATTTAAAAAAAAAAAAAAAATCAGTTGCAGTCATTCTAGCAGCTTTTCCCAAAATACCTTGAGTTGGGCCAGGTATGGTAGACCACACCTTGAGTCCCAGCACTCCAGCAGCCAGTACAGGGAGATTTCTGAGATGGAGGCCAGCTAGGGCTATAGAAAGTGACCTTTGTTTTTTACAAATACCTTGAGTTGGGTATCTTGGGCGGGGGGTGGGGGGGAGGTGGCTTAGTTAAGACTGTACATTTCCTTGCTGAGGACCAGAGTTCAGTTCCCGGTTCCCAGGACCTATGTCAGGGAACTCAACCATCTGTAACTCAAGCTCCAGGGAGATCTGACCTCTGACCTGTGAGGGCACCTGCACATAACCACAACCACACATAATTAAAAATAACAAATAAACCTTAAAAAAGAGAGCAAGGGGCTGGGGAGATGTGTCAGTGGACTGGAATACCAATCTTGCAGAGGAAACACATCCTAGCTGTAACTCGCAGCTCCAGATCTCAACACCTTCTTCTGGCCTCCCTGGCACCTGTGCGCACAAGGCTTGCACTCATAATACACTTTAAGAGAAAAAAACAAAACAAGGCCAATTAACCATTTCATTCCTGGGGAATTTGGTAGCAGTAGAACTGGTCACTTATCTGTGGGTGACAGTGTGCAGAGGCCAGTGTCTTGAGATGGGCCCCAGATCACTGGTGCATACAGTCCTGACCCCTGCTATCTTCTCCAGGCCATCTGGCTGCTGTGTACAGGTGCTCGTGAGGCTGCCTTCCGGAACATCAAGACCATCGCTGAGTGCCTGGCAGATGAGCTTATCAATGCTGCCAAGGTAGGTGGGGGCACATATTTGAGGTTGGACATCTGGGGGGTCTGCAGCATCCAAAGCTAATCCTCTCTCCTTGCAGGGCTCCTCCAACTCCTACGCCATCAAGAAGAAGGACGAGCTGGAGCGTGTGGCCAAGTCCAACCGCTGATTTCCAACTGCTGCCTAATAAACTGTGTGCCCTCTGGGACAGTTCCAGTTCCCTGTGTGGTCGTCTGTCATTGAGGGGTGGGTGTAGGGGAAGATCACCTCACTGACATGGCTATTTTACCTGTGGGAATTGAATTTCTTTGTAGCTAGTCACAAGGAGCAAGACGTGGCCCGGAATGCCCCAACACACACTGGGAATGATGGGGGGAGGGCGGTCGTCCTACCTTGAGGGCCTGGCACTCTTCACTCTGGTGTGGGCAAGCGTTTAGGTGCCAGAGAGACCTGAGTAGCTACAGAGGTTCCTGTATAGATCTGATGGGTCCAGTTGCCCACACCCTTGGTGTGGTTTGTCATGTACCTGTAGCTGCTGCACAGCATGCACCACCACAGTGAACCTTCAAGTTCCCATCATGGAATGCAAAGTCAGGCTGCTCGCATAGGCTGGAACCCACCCAGTTCCAGTTGGACTCTGAGGGGTTGTTCATACCCACCTGCCTTGTACCACCAACTTCCAGTCACCCCAGCATCTCCTGGAGGTCAGACTTGGGTGTTCATCCCAGGAGGAGGAGCCTGAGGGGCAGGGCTGGCAGCCTGACAGGTTTGACGAGTACCTGGAAACCTGGAGGGGGCTGGCCCCAGGTCAGGCACACTCCTTCAGGGAGGGGCACTTGCCTACCTAGTGACAGGCAAGCCAGAGATTGGGGTCAGAGGCAGACGAAGCTCCAAGGTCTGGAGGAAGGAGGTTAACAGGTAGGGAGAGCCCAGAAGACCTGGCTCTGGCATTTCTATCTGGGCCCCAGACCCTGGTGTCCCATTATATTTGTGACAGGAATCTGGTGGGTTGTTGTGGGGTGGAAGGGCAGGTTCTAATGGATACTTCCGGAGTCTTAATGCCCCTCTGGGAACCCTGAGTAGTTCTGACTTAGTGCTGCATCCTCCCAGATGATTATCGGGTACCCCCCTAAGGCATGAGTATTCTAGTTCTTCAAACTGTCCCTCAAGTGCCTAGACTGCAGGCCAGTCTGGGTCCAACCGAGAGCTCACCCCGTCCTACCTTCCCTTTTCTGCTCTTGGAGTTTTCCAGCAACGTCCTTCAGGGTGATCTCAAGTTCAGCCCTGAGCCTCCCTTGATTTCTGGGTGGCCTTTCAGACCCCCACCCCCTTGCAGCCTCCCGGTCCCTACCCGAGCGCCTCTCCCGGCAGGTTGCATCTGAATGCCGTGTCCTCGGCCGCCCTGGCTCCGCCGACACCGGCCCGCTCAGGGCTCCCCCTGCTCCCTGGACGCGCCGTCTGCACCCGGGTCCCCTAGCAGAGGGGACGATGAGGATGCAGAAGAAGAGGATGGCAGCCCGGGCTCACACCCCATTCTGCCTCCCGTATCCCCCATGGAGTGCCTCATCTGCGTATCGCCCTTCGACGGGGTTTTCAAGCTGCCTAAACGCCTGGACTGCGGCCACATCTTCTGTCTCGAGTGCCTGGCCCGCCTGTCGTTGGCCACGGCAGGCGGCGGCGACGCGGTGGCCTGCCCGGTGTGCCGCGCGCCCACGCGCCTGGCCCCTCG